TGAAACTGGCCACTGGCGGTTCGACCTGAAATCTGATTGGCCAAACTTTGTTACCGTTGGTCTTTTGTTATGAAGTTTGTTTGATTATATCTTCTGGCGTATGATCGTCGTATGTGAACCGCCAGTGGCCAGTTTCATTGCCTTTCAGCCATTTGACCTGAGGTCTGATTGGTTACTTGTTGCCGTTTCCTGAACTTCCACTGGGCCGTTCAGGTTTTTTGTGATCTTCCGTTAGATTAGGGACCGATTACCAATCTTGGACATGTCCAAACCGATCGGCTCACTTGTGTACGGCTGCTCCTCAAGTCCGTCCATCATACTCAGTCACCGATCTTGTCCAATTCGATGTGTTTATTTACAAAAATTGTTGACGAATAGCAGGTCTCGAAAGGCTGGCCTGCGTTCGTCGTTTGGTAACGCAAAAAACGGCAGTGTCCAGGTTGAATGTGTGTTCGCTTTGATCCTCCTGGACGAAAACCGACAGAAACTGATCGTGAATCCTGATAGCTAGTTCATGTGTACATTACTTTCGTTCGGTTTGGCCAACCTACTGCTTCCCTTTGTCATTAGATTTGGGTTTGAATGCGACGTTCCATCTACCAGCGGTTTTGAGTTTTCCTTCGGTTTGGTAGTATTTTTTGTACAGTTACGATTGATCTGTATGCTATTGTGATTCCATAAGGTCATAAGTGCCATGCATTCATTTCGACTGATCCTTATTTAAGGTAGGGTAGTTCATTTTGCTGATTGCTCCGTGGAGTTTTATTTTTCTTCCTATGGAATAAGCTGCGTCTGATGAAACAGCTTGGCAATTTGTTACGAGGAAGTAACAATTCTGAGTACTGCTCTCTCAACCAGCGTTCAGAAACAGCTGCTTTTGTGGCTATCTGGGTGACTACTATGACAACTGAGGATTTGGTCTATATGTGTCAATTTTCGGTTAACTGAAGTCGCCGGTGTAGTATACCGTTTTCGGTTAACTAGTACGTTAGAAAGGAACATTTTGTTATCAGGTGTCATCTCCTAAGTGAGTCCGATATCGTTGACAATTTTTTCAAGTCTCCTATATCTTGGTGCACTTAAATATTACGCCCGCACCATAACATATTGTATTCAGAGTTTTAGCCTAATCCCTGACAGTGTGACGTTTCTGAGTCTTTGTATGAATGTTTTAGCGATGATTGTACATAATGATCAGGTTGCCCGATCGTCTGTAGGCGATTCCAGATGAAGCAGATCCCACTGCAGTTACTTTCTATTGTGCGTAGTTTTTGCAGTTGAATCTGGACTCTACAGAGACCAGCGTTTGCATATACCCTCCGGTTTCAGTAAATCATTT